CAGTGGTAGAGTCCGTAAGGGTGTGCATGCAGGGCGTGCATGCAGGGCGTGGGAACTTCACTGTTCTACACAAATCAATTTCCCCTCCCAACCTACAAAGCAAGCAGAGGGCAGCTAGGATAGAAAAGATTTAACACTTGGGCACCTCTGTGGTGGGAGGTGTGGCTACTGCAGAAAAGCAGCTGTAATCTTACAGTTCCAACACAATAAAGGCCTTCAATAATCTCTATTTGCAAGGGCATATTCATGCTCTGTTCAGACATCCAGGGCAATACCTGTGAATCTTCCCCTGGCAGCAGGGATGCAGTCCTGACTGCTGCTAGATCCAGGTACCTGCATTTCCAGTCCCCTCCTTCACATACACACATCACCACACCTTTATGTGCAAATGAGTGACTTAGTCTCTCTGTTTGGAGTGGGCTTTTCAAAACAAACAAGTGCAATAGCTAAACCGGGGCTGTGATTCTGCATGCACAATGTCAGAAATCCAGTTACAGTCCCATGTTACACAGACTCACAAGCCGCACCCAGCCATAGACACCAATACAAAGTACCAACGAGGGCTACAGAAAGTTGCCTTGAAGCCATAACTTCCCTGACTTCTTTGCATTTACAATTCTCAGTCCCACCGATGCAGTTACTGGGCTTTGTACACTTAGTCCAGTCTTAATTTGTAAAGAGTTTAAATAAACTAAAGCCTGTTTTCTTACTGCAGGAGGGGAAATGAGCCAGCATCTTTTGCCCCCTCCCGTAGATCTGGAGGCAGAAGAATAATTGAAAATGCAGAAGGTTCAGAAGAGGAAGCTGATTCAAGAGATGGAGATTTCAATGGAACAAAAGCCAGTGAATAGATAACACGCTCGCAAACTACACTGCAACAAGGGGGAAGAGAAGACAATATTTAGCACTGCATAAGGCAACTTAGTTCCAATGCCACACCCACCCACTCTGATGGCAATGATAAGAGCACAGCTGCCTTCTCTCCAATGTAGAAATGGAAGTTTTAGGTGTCGCAAACACTTATTTTATCAAGAAAGGTATTTTGAAAAGGTTTACATTGAGTAATTCACCTTGAGAACTTAGTCAGAAATGCAAATCCGAGCGAGTCAATTTAAATCCCAGTGGACATAGTATACATGCAGTTATGCTACAGAAAGAGCCATTGGCCAGCTAATCCTTTCCTAATCCAGCCGACCCTTCCTTTTGTCTTACTATTCAATTAATACAGTATAGGCATTTTCTTTTCCTGGATGCTACACCCTGATGCACTGGTCACAAAATGGAAGTGCCGTCTTCAGTCACTTTTCAAAAATAAAGTATCATTTGTTCAAATGAAGTCAAACTGTTATTGTTTTATACGCACTTCAGACACAAACACTAATAAAAGGTTATAAATCATTACATTTAAGCATTCTCTTTAAGTATCAGTTGGGTGCAATCTGATATACTGAGAAGGAACTTAAGCTGCTGTTGACCTTGTTAGTATTCACATACCTTTTTGAAAAAAGTCAGTCATTTTGTATGAAAAATTCAACATTTAATTCTTTATATTCTTTAGCACAGAGATTCTCAGACTGTCTTCCGTGGACCAGTGGTCCGCGAGCTCCATTCAGGTGGTCCGCAGATAGTTCCCTCTAAGGTGCGTACCTGGGCGGTCGCACACGAGAGAATGAAGGGTCACCTACCTAATTAGTGGAGCTCCACTAATTAGGTGCCTGGACCCTGGAGAAGATGCACATGTAAGGTGAGGTGGTGGCCTTGGGGGGGGAATAGGGGGTAGGTGGGAGGGGGCAGTGGGGTGAGAAGAGGTGGGGGGGGAATTTGGGATGTACAGGACTGTGACTGTTGGGGAGAGACCCCTCTCCTTCCCAGCCTCAGCTCTGTGGCTGCTGTGGTGGGTGAGAGAGGGCACATCCATCGCATTAGAAAGGTAAGACTATTGATATTAAAATATGAGTTGTGTGCTTTTATTTGTAAAACAAAAAAAGTTTTTTTATATAGTGCTTTTAACCAAAGTGCTTTACAATAGTTAGCTAACGGCACAAACAACATTTGGAAAGATCACTAAGTGGTCCATCGAGACCCTCAGCAATTTTCAAGTGGTCCGCGGGGAAAAAAAAAAGTTTGAGAACCACTGCCTTAGCATATATTGTTCATTGCTAAACAACTCAGAGAACTTTTCTTTTAGGCTACACATGACTGTTGAAGTTTTCCTTTATGTAACCTTCTCGGAGACTAGTGATCATACTCAATACCTCTAGTGCAATTTTGAAGCGGTATTTAATACAATGATCAATACCATGCTAAATCTGCACATTCAGGTACTAGCTTGAAGCCGTTTAGCACTGGCTGCTGTGCTCCAGCTGGACTGCAACCCCCCATTCAGGGAAGTGCCAGGAATTATTGGACAGAAGACCCACAGACAGGCTGGTACTTCCAGCAGCTGGGAGAGTGTGCTAGCAGTCCAGCAGGAACACAGACAGCAAGGCAAGTTAGTGGGACACAATTAAGTGAGAGCAGACAGTTGAGCCCTTTAGATTTTAGGACAGATGATCCTTAAACAGCAAGCCCTGGAGGCCAGGAAATAACTTCAATCTAGACTCCAAGGTGGTCAATATGCATTCAGATCAGTAACTTTAAAAAAAAAAAAAAAGTTAACCCAAGCCCCATTTCAACCAGCGGCAGCGAGTCCAAGGAATTCAGAGGGCAGCCACATTCTGTTTATAAAAAGACCAAACAGATTAAATGAGAACCCAGCTGGGGCCATTAGGCTGAGAGATTCTACAACAGAGGGAGATTTTAAAGAGTTAACACTGAATTGGTGCTTGGCGGAATTCACTGCTCAGCCACTTATTACAGGTCCAACCCTATTTCTGCAAACGTGCTTCCAAGTTTGGCTTAGCAGCTCACATGGCTGGTGACCCAGCATGCGGGAAGAAGGGAGATTGAGGCAGTCAGGCTTGAAACTGCTGAAATGAGAATGGTCCTAAGCACAGAGATCTGGAGTGGCAGCTGCACACTGGATGCTGAAGGTTTCAGAAAGTCTTCAGGCCCATGGTGGGGGGAAAGGGGGGACAGACAGAGACAGAGTAAGTGTGTGCGCGCACACAAACATGCAAAATGTGCTTCAGAGAAAGGCATGAGAGATGAAGGATGGTCCAGTGGTCAGGGCACTATCCTAGCATTTGGAAGTCCTGGGTTCAAGCCCTTGTTCTACATGTCCTGTGTGACACTGGGCAAGGTCAGAGGGTTTAGCTGCACTTGGAAATTTACCAGAATTATTATTCCAGAATACTGTATTCAGTATAAGAGCCCCTGGGAACACTTATTCCAGAATAAGAGTGCCACACAGGGAGCTATTCCAGAATAGATATTTTGGTAAATTTCCAAGTGTAAACAATGCCCTTTGCCTCTCTGTGCTTCTGTCCCCCATTTGTAAAATAGGGATAATAGTACTACCTGACCTCATAGGGACATCGAGGATAAATACATTAAAGACAGAGGCCCTCAGGGACAGATTTTTAAGCTCCTAAAGATGTGGATAGGCATCTACTGGGGTTTTCAAAAGTGCTTATCTGCATCTTTAAATTCCTAATCTGTCCCTCAGCTACTACAGTAATGGGGGACCATATTAGTACAATACATAGATCTTTCCTCGGGCAGCCACTCCTAGGGGTATGGGCAGAAGGACCACCACCACCCAGGGCGGGGAACATGAACATTTTCTCAAATCTTTTTCCACTAGATCTGGGGAGTGTGGCCAGGGCCGGCTCCAGGCACCAGGCAACCAAGCATATGCTTGGGGCGGCACCTGGTAAGGGGTGGCAGGGGTAGCGCGGCGCGGCATTCCGCGGGGGGGGGGGGCGGGCTCCGGCAGCGCCGCGCTCGGCGGGGGGGCGGCACGGGCGCGGCGCTTGGGGGAGGGAGGGGGTTTCCGGCGGCGCTTGGCGGGCGGGCTCTGGCGGCGTGGCGCTCAGCGGGGGGGGGGGGGGGGGGCGGGGGGGGCGGGGGCGGGGGGGGGGGGGGTTTTTTTTGTTTGTTGGGGGTGCAGCCCCAAGCAGCAAAAAAGTTAGAGCCGGCCCTGAGTTTGGCCTTGTTTAAGCTCCCTTTTGCAGGAACACAACTGAGAAACTGGTTAGCCTAATATATGTATGTAAACTGTAAATGCAACTGGCAATGAATTCAGAGATCAGATAATATTGTCTACAGACTAATATTCAGAATAAGCTTTATTCTGTTCACTGATTAAACCAGACAATTTAGATTTACAGAGTGAGATTAAGATGTGGTTGCTTACTATACAATAGTATCTGTATATGCAAAGATGAATATTTAAAAAAAAAAGTCATTATGTATTCATTTGTTGTGCAAAAATAGTTTTAGACATACTTATTGCAAATTCACATTTCTATAACATGGTATTATTACTGTCCGTGAACCTACTCCACTTAAACTTGCAGCATTATTTTGTTATATAAAAACCTATCTTAAAAGAGCTCATTATCCTAATATCCTTGGCCAGCATTAAGAATTTCTGGGGTTACACCACCATTTCTAAGTTAATATCACTAGCAACTAGAAGGGGTATGTTCTCACGTTAACCACACAGGGCACATCATCAAGTGTAGGTTCAGAAAGCAAAAAGCCCCAACCCATCAACTGAGATTAACCCTATCAATAGATCAGTGTTGTATATCTTGCTAGGTCCTGCAGTCATGTAGTGACTGCAGAAGACATGGGTTTGTTACATCAGTGAAAATATCTCTTTTCTGCATTATTACATATTTGGGGTCTCTTCAATATTTGCAATCAAGGCATTTTTTCCTTCTTTAACCATTAGGAAATCTTAATGGCAAGTCACTCTCACCAATACCATCTTACCACCTGAAAGGCAGATTGTTATATAACGGGATTCTGACAACGAATTAATTTCCCCACACGGCTTTATTTTAGACTTCCAATTGCACTGATTTTGGTATTAAAAAAAAAAAAAAAAAAAAAAAAAAAAAATCTTGCCATGGAACTAAAATGTAGATGGAGACAAACATTTCTCTAATTTAGGCCACTGATGCATGCAGCACACTGCACTAGAAAGTTATAACACCATAACTCTTGCTAAAACAGTAGTTGTGCTACAGAAAATAATTCAGTGTTTATGGGGAGGAATCTTGTCTCTACATTATATAGCAGGTCATTAGTTTTGACCAGCAGTGTTACAGAAGCAGCTTTAAAGAAGCTATTTACAGCAGCTGATGTAGGAAAGCGATTCACAGTATTGGACTAACCGGCAGCGCTGCTTTGTCACAGCACCACACAACTCAGTCTTGGGGGAAAGGCTGAGATTGCAGGGGACTGTTACCAATTGCTCTGTGTAGTTCTCATCCACCATTATTCAAGTTAACTACTGTGACTGCTTGTTAGTATTCTGTTAAAAGTTTAAAAGACAAGAGTTTAAAAAACAAAACAAACAAACAAAAACACCCTAAACCATCATGGCCTCGTCATCTCAGGATCTTCTCAAAGTAACATCTTGACTACACCTTGTGGGGAATGTGCCATTGGTGCAGGAATATTTGAAGGCCGTGTTCCAAACTCCAAGCGCTTCCCTAACCTGTAAATACAAACAACAACACGATTGCAATGCAATGTATTGCATTCACTGTACATGCATGTTCAGTTTTTGCAATCTTTGTTAGGTCACTGCTGTGTAGTAAAATGCATCACTCAGCGTCAAACAGCACAAGGAACTAACAGACATAACAGTAAGTCTCAAATCCAAATGGCAGTTCTGACACTAACTTGGTAAATCACTTAACTTCTGTGGCTCTGTTTCCCATCTGTAAAATGGGGCTAAAACGTACCTCTCTCTTTCCCACTAGTGTGAAGTGTATTATGCTTGCTGGTGCTAAAATACTGTTTCAATAGGAATATTGTTTACACATACAATGCAAACACATTTATAAAACGCAATAAGGAAAAATCTACAAGAGCTCATGAAGATTCTGCTCTTCCTTTCACAGTAGCAACTCTGCATCAGAAACTCTCCTTAAGTGCTACTGCTTTTGGTAATAGGGCAATGAGAATAACCAGAATTCCAGCACTAGTTGGTTCCGAGTGAATACAATCAATCTGGAGTTATCCAACTTCTTCTCCAGAAGGAGCATTTTTATATTTTGGGTTAGCATTTTATGTGCAAGTTGAAATGGATACTGCATGCATCTGATTCACGAAGAAAAGAATGTGGACTAGATCATGGGCAGGGCTTAAACAGGCACTGAGCTGCAGCTGGAAACACCCTTGTTGATTATTTACAAAAAGCTGATTAAAGTGTTCAGACAAAAATGTACAAGGTTCCAGACTTAGAATTTAATTTAATTAGACAGAACAGGTCTCAGCAGCTGCATCCCAGGAAAGCGCCTTGGTGATGCAAAAGCAGAACTTTTATTATTCTGTCCTCCCATAAAAAGAGAGCATAAGTAGTGACAAGGGAAGCAGGCTCCCCATCCATCACCTGGGCCATCCTTTAACACAAGTATATGGAGTATACAAATCTTTATCTGACCCCCTGGCTGTCAACATCCCACTCACCAGGAGCCCAAAATAAAACACTGGATTGTACATTTATATTGAAAGTGTTTAACATACTCTCTATAAATTAAATATGTTTTTCAAACAGGACACCAAACTAAGTTCTGGCACAGCACATTTCAACAGATAGTGTTAAACATTTAAAACTTGGGGTAAAGTTTTCAGAATTGCGACAGCTTCCCAGGAGCCTAAATGGCCAAGTCATTTCTGAATTTTTTACCCTTTCTCTAAAATTTCCTGTTTGAATATTACTGTTTCCATTACACTTAAAGCCTTCAGCTAGCTAGTTTGAATGGTCAGCTATCATGTGATACACAATATATGACAATGTGCTTTTAAAGGAAATATACATTAGCCTGTTGTAGTTCACTAGCCCATGCCCTGTTTAGTATCTTCTTTTCAATTACGCTAAAGTGCAATGCAAAAAGGATCCTGAAGTAGTTCATCCCTTTTGAGAAACACTTATCTCCAGGTTAACATCAGATGTAATGGCTCAATTTTATAAGGGACTGGGAGGTCTACCAGAAGGTAAACAGAGAAAGCATTTTCCAGCCACTCAAGACAGGACTGGTCAGAACACAATGGCTCAACTGGCTCCCCACCTTCTCCTCATGTGAGCAGTTTACTTCTGTCAGATCAGACCACTGCTTTACGCAAGGAGCCAGCAAAAAGTGTGAGGCATATCAGGAAGATAGACCATTTATAGGAAGCTCAACCAGCAAGGAACTGGATATCTGACTGGAAAGGAGCAGTTTGCAAATGTCAGAAGATGGCCATAAGAAACATAGAACAGGAGGCATTTTGATAGAGTATACTCTTCTTAGCCCGATCCCCAGCCACTCTGTACCTTACCACCAACCTCCCAGCTTTCAGCCCCAGACTTCAGACTCACTTTAGAGCATCAAGATCTGTGTATAACCAAACCACAGGATCAGCGTTAAGAAACTGCAGCCAATCAGCACTTACCCGTTATCGCTCAAAGGCATGTGGGAACTGCTCAATCGTTTTTCAAGGCCATCTCTGCTCTTGTTCAGATACATGGATGAGGACATGGCGGGTCTGTTTGGAGACTGGTCATACACAAAGTTTCGACAAGATGCAAGTTTGGATTCCAGAGCCTAAAGCAAACAGTTTGTCTGAGAGTTAAACAACATTCTCTTCCCCAACAAAGGGCCCATGGAAGGATTTTCTAATAATTTACAAGGACTCCAATAGAAGAAGCTTTTAGCTACTAGTCCCAAATCTATACATGAGCTCTGAATTTGAAGGAAGAGGTGCTGCTGATACACAAGTCCTTCTGGCTTCAGGATCAGGCCCTTCAGTGTCTCATTAAATGGCAAAATTATTTTGTATTTTGTGGAGGATGGGGAGGGGAAGAGAGAGGTAAAGGAGTTAGCTCTTATGTTAAGGATGGAGAAGCAACGGAGCATTCTGTTTAGTTAAACAACAAGAGCCTCGACTTCCCCAGAGGTTAACACGCCTTTTATAACTAGGCTGCTTTTATAAGCATCACTTCTTTATGAAACTAAATGTTCTTTCAAACCTTTTCCCCAAGGCCAATACACACCCACCCACCCTGTGGCATGCCTGGGGTCTCCTGAACACATGACTTGAGCAGTAATCACCAACAAGCTAGATTCTGCCTCAGGCACCATCAGGCACATCAAAGGAGGACTCAGCCAGAATTCCTCCTGGGCAGCATTTCTGCTGCACCACTCTTGAAGAGAGTGCAGTATATTCCCCTAGCCTGGCACTCATTCACACTGGCCTGCTCCACTTTTCCCTCCCCCTCCCGATGCTATTTCAGACACCCAGAAGGGAGAAAAGACTATTCTGGCTGGCACACTGAGTGGGGCAAAAGCCACAGGAGAGAACAATTGGCCCTTGTTGAGGTACATTCTATCTACACAGATGCCTGAGCTACAAAATAAAGTTCACAATTTTCTAATCTCTTTCATGCAGAATTAGAGTCTGTTTGGATCCAAGTTTTGGTCTGAGTTCATCTCTATAGTTTAACTCATTCAGTGGTACAAAGGGTTAATGCTGGTTTTCATTCTCATAATACAAACATAGCCGCCATCACTTTTCGGCATAGCTCTAGCTAATGACTGATCCTTCTTACCCCTACTTTCCGTAGTAAGTCTCCCACAATGTTTAGCGCAGATATCCTGGCAGCTGGTGTGAGAGGGGTCCCGCTGTAACTATCCTCAAAACCTTTGAGAGAGAGGAAGGGTTAATAAAAGGGATATTTTACTCATTATATATGAGAAAACTTAGCAAAACCTTAACTCTCCCCACCAGCACTAAAGAGAGATTGTACATGGTGAGTAGCAATCGTCTCTCCTCTCTTTTTATCTGAACTGCAATTCTCTTCATTCCCACTGGAAATATAAATCACTGCATCTTTCCGACATGACAAGTTGCACTGAAGAGATGCTGGACTTTAATTTGCACTGGTTTTGAAAGCAGCTTTTAAGCCTTTAGATTTCATGAGAAGTGTTCTAGTCTGTCTCTATAACTTGCAATGGAACCAAAGAGAGAAAGACAGCAACTAAAAAGACATGTCATCCAGAGAAGATCACATGATCCAAAGCTTTATTGCCTGTGTTGCAAGAATTCCTGGATCCTCTCTCTTTTATGTGAACATACTATAACATATCAAGTGCTTCCAGCTGGAACACAGGATTTTAGGCTAAGAGTACCACAGTCAGGATATACACACACTTTATTAACCACTTACTAGAACTGTAACACTAAATTATTAGTATCAGACACAATCACAAGAAAACACTCACGGTGTATGTGCACACACACAATACAGTGAAGTTCTCTAAACATTCCTTTTTACTCAATTTAAAGAGTCTGGGCAGGTGTAATTGGGAGTTATTTAAATTTTTAGTGCTCATAAAAATGAGCAACTAGTACCACTGGTGAGAGCCCATATTTTATAATTTAGTACAGACAAGTCTCCCGTTGTTCCAGAATGAAGCATCTCTAAAGTAGCAACCTCCATCTCTAACTGGCTAATTCAAATGAGTGTGTCTGCTGAGACCTCCAATCTCCTTTCTACCAAACTCATGGAAATTCAGGGATGGTTAATGAGTGCAAATTATAACCTAGTGAACTACCTTGCTCCGGAAGGTTTTTTTTTTTTTTTAAGTTCATGTTTTAATACAACATGGGTGAGTTATAATGCACTGGCTATAAATCTACCCAGACATTCATACTGAACCCATGACAGGTATTCAAAATAGATTACTGTCCTTCAATGTGTTAAACACTTCAATACCGGTCATGTTCAGTTCCACATTTCTCAGCTTCTTTTGTAGTCAGTAGTTTGATAGAAATTCAACATGTACCAGGAAAAATGACTCAACGACTATTGGTATCGTACATTAACCTTACGTTAGCACATGCCATTCACTCTTACCTCTTCTAAACGTTCCTGGGGTGCTTATACTGACATTGGGTCCCCTATGAACTGCAGGAGTTGAAGGCACAGATAAGGTTGCTTGCACAGCTGTGTCCGTTCTTTCTGTCTCCAGTGTACTTCGTATCGGTGTTTTGGGTTTCTCCTGTTTCTGCTGCACTGCAAGCTCTTGCCTTAAGTCTAAAGGAGAAGGAAAAGGTACAAAGCATTTGGATACACATCCCAATCCGAAGCTATTAGGTGCAAGAAGTGTTTTTGTGTTGTCAAAGAACGCTGTTAACATTGATAGCCCCAGAGTAGAGGTGGCCAACCTGCGCCTGAGAAGGAGCCAGAATTTACCTACGTACACTGCCAAAGAGCCACAATAATACATCAGCAACTCCCCATCAGCTCCCTCCCGCCTGCCAGCAGCCATGCTGATCAGCGCCTCCCCCTCCTTCCCCAGGCCTCCTGTGGTATGCAGGAGGCTCTGGGGGGAGGGGGAGGAGCAAGGGTGTGGAAGGCTCAGGGAAGGGGGCAGGAAGGAGCAGGGGCCTCGGGGGAAAGGGGGAAGTAGGGGCAGGCCTGTGGCAGAGTCAGGTGTTGAGCAGTGAGCACCCCTCTGCCTGGGCACATTGGAAAGTTGGCGCCTCTAGCTCCAGCCCCGGAGTTGGTGCCTATGCAAGGAGCCACATATTAAACTTCTGAAGAGCCACATGCGGCTCTGGAGCCACAGGTTGGCCACCCCTGGCCCCACAGTGTTTCACCAACCACAGCTGAAAAAAGAAATCACATTCAGCTTCCAAAGAACATGTACACCCCAGCCAACACCCCACGAATCTTGGCACTAGCCACTTATAACTGGTTCAAAATCCCAGATTCCAGAATGGGAGATCAGCAAACTAAGCTTTGTTGGGATAGTGTAACTCAAAACACCCTCAAGCTTATGGTCCCTCCCCTCCATGCCACTTCCTCCCCAAAACAAGCACAGGTCCCTCCCTCCCAGTATTGTTGTCTAGTTGTAGGTTTTTCTTTGGTGCTCATTTTCCTAATAACAGAGCACTACACAAATGTGAATGAACTTATCCTCCCTACATCCATGTAAAATGGGGAATTTAGTATCCCTGCTTTACAGATGGGTTTCTGAGGCACAGAGAGGTGAAGTGACATGTCCAAGGCCATGTGAGGTCTGTGACAGAGCTGGAAAGAGAACCCAGTTCTCCCAATTCCTTGTCCAGTTCTTTAGCTACAAAGTCATCCTTCCTCTCTTCTGGTCCTACTGCCAGAGACAACAATCAGGAAACTAACTGCTGAAGTCGTGGAGGGGAATCAGCACTCATTCATGGTGTCTGTGTTACACACTCGCTCTCCATATTACACTGTCCCTTTATTCTCCTTACTGGCTCCGCTCTCATGACAGAAGTTGACAATATCTCTGTTGCATTTGTTAAAATTCATGTCCTGTCAGCTGACAATGAAGTGGGCAGTCAGACCATATCCCCGCAAGCCAGTCAGCTTTTCTTATTGTTTTAAAATACAGAGGCAACAGCAGAGAAGAGAGCGTTCTGGGATATATCTCTGCCTGCATGGTCTGCTATAGAATGACAGCAGTACTTCAGAGGAGCCGGGTGGACAAGGCTACAAGTTCCTTGGACGTTTCTACACGTTAGAAGAATATTTAGAAAATGCACCCAACATAGTTAAAAGCCCAACTGACAAAACACTGAATTCTACAATGTGTTTTCAAAGCATGCCTCCGATTTGTAGAAATATGCCAAAAGCTACAATACCACCCATCCTGCTCTCCCTAGGCATCAGGGTATAGCAGAGAGGAGAGCAGCATGCACCTACTATCCAAGACAAGTGCCCAGACAGGCTCTCTATTTCATCAAGGAGAGTGAAGCTTCCATCGACAGCATTTCTAAGGTCTCTCTCTTCTTACTATCTCGACACCATATTCGAGGGGAGGATTTAATGAAAACTTTGGAAGGCGGGAGGACAGGGCTGTATATAAATCAGTTAGTTAACCTCTGGCTTCATCTTTCAATCGCTGCACTGATTCCAGGAGATTCTCTTTCTCATCTAGCTCACTCTCCAGAAAGGCATTTCTTTCAATGGCCTGGTTCAAACGCTGTTCGAAGTCCTCCAGAGACATTATAGTGGCTCTGTGTGTAGAAAAATAATGTCACAGAAGTCATTAGGTTGCTAGCACATCCAGGGCTGCCCAGAGGATTCAGGGGGCCTGGGGCAAAGTGGGGGAGCTGCGGCGCTTGTACTCACCCGGCGGCGGTCTGCGTCTTCGGCGGCATTTCGGCGGCAGGGGGCCCTTCAGTCGCTTCACGTCTTTGACAGCACTGAAGAACCCGCCACCGAAGACCCGGAGTGACTGAAGGGTCCCCCGCCGCCGAAATGCCACCGAAGACCCGGACTGCCGCCGGGCCAAGGCTCACGGAGCCCCTGCGGGGCCGCCAAAGACCCGGACCGCCGTCGGGGCCACCAAAGACCTGGACCGCCGCCGGGCCAGGGCTTGCGGGGCCCCTGTGGGGCCCGGGGCAAATTGCCCCACTTGCCCCCCTCTTTGGGCGGCCCTGAGCACATCTAAAAGCATCAACTCAGACACAAAGAAACTGCAGTATTTCTGGTGTGAGAAGCTCCAATGTTTTAATTTCAAGCTTGTAAGACATTGACCAGCCTCATATTCCACTCACCCACTTGTAGGAAGGCAGCAGCTCAACACCTGTAGCAAGAGCAGACAGTACCACAGCACTAACGGGCACAGCATAGAAATGGACATGCTCAGTTCTGCTAGCTTCACAAAAGAGAGAACAAGAGCTGGGTAGGGAAGGGTTAAGAGCACCTGCATTACCTTTTTGCTCTTTCCAAGTCATCATTTGATTGCTCGAGTTCTCGAATGTACTTCTGTAGTTGATCTTTAATAGCTGTCGTCTGTGCCAGGTCATCTTCTAGCGCAGAGATCTGCTGGTAGCCTTCTGAATGTTGCATTTCAATTTTTTCCTAACCAAAGATAAACCAACCACCACATCAGGGATTTAGCACCGCACAGCCCCTTCCTTCCTTTTTGCTCCGCTGTGCTTACTCAGCCTTTCCCAGTTAGAAAGAAGGCGGTCCTGCTAGGCCATCTTAGAGCTACCACCTTTCACATGGGCTAAAACCAATAAGGACAGACGCTAGCCTCTTTCCATCAAACCAGACCTCCACAAGCCGATCCCAGGAGCAATCTTCTTGGCTGTGGGTGGGAGGGCAGGATCTCTCTTCCTCGCTCCCTACAGGTAGATGGAGCTAGGAGATCTAGCCTCACTCACCTCCATCACAGACTGCTCCCTACTCTCACGAGTGCTTACACTAGTTCTCTCTCTTTCTCCTCCCCCATTCCTGCCCTTCATGGGGAGGAAGCAGTTCTATCCTCTATAGGGAGTTGGGATTTTCAGTGGTTCTCTCTGTGGGAGAGGCACAAGACAACACCATCTCATATGCTCATAGATGGGCTCCCAGCTCTGTCTGAGGCACACATAGGTACCAGACAAACAGTACTTCCTTCTTCTACCCAGGACCAGGCAGAGCATGATCAGTGTGTTTCAGCAGCGCAGTGCAGACAGCACATCACAAGAGAGCCTAGACTGCAGGAGGGAGGAAAGAAGAGTGCCTTGGAGACAACTGGGAGGGCAGATACTAGTCCCTTTACTTTAAGTCCATGCAGGTGGCAGACCCACCCCATCACCAACTTCAAGACCAACAGCCACAACAGACCTGTGCAGGGGACCTAGATCTTCAGTGAGTACATGCTTTGGTGCTCTAAGCACAGGAATGGAGGTCAGATAATTCAGAGTCAGTATTTTTACGGTGCCCAGTGATTTGCAACACAAGACTTGGTAACTGACTATAAACAAAAAGTGAAACTGTCCAAACTGAGCAAAAGGGTAGTACAGTAGAACCTCAGACTTACAAACACCTCGGGAATGGAGGTTGTTTGTAACTCTGAACAAAACGTTATGGTTGTTTTTTCAAAAGTTTACAACTGAACATTGACTTAATACAGCTCTGAAACTTGACTATGCAGAAGAAAACTGCTGTTTTTAATCATCTTAATTTAAATGAAAGAAGCACAGAAAGAGTTTCTTTACCTTATCAATTTTTTTTTAGTAGTAGTTTACACTTAAACACAGTACTGTTCTGTATTTGCTTTGGGGGTTTTTTTGGGTCCCTGCTGTTGCCTGATTGAGGTGTGTGGCTGACCGGTCAGTTCATAACTCTGGTTTCTGTAACTCTGAGGTTCTATATATTAGGAGCATAATTGGTGAATATTCTATTATATCCCCGTGCCTAATCATGGCTTGTTTCCACAGATCCTGTAAAGTCCTTTCAGTTTCTGCAAGACTCTTCAAAGGCTCAGGGTTCTACACTAGCAGATCCCAATGCAGGGCTCTAGAGTCTTAAAATTCTTTCAGATGTATGCATCTGGGATTATTGCCTATGTTACTAATACAACATTTTTTAAAGAGGATGTCAGTATCCCTTTAGGGCAGAGATGCAATCTAGCCTGTACTGCAAAAATTTAGGCATCAAAACCTTGGCACTGGATCACCTTAACATGCCAATTCCTTTTTCTGTGGTCCCAAGATTACCATCTATTAACATACCTAAAGCATTTATAACTGTAGGATCTAAGCATAACAAACTAAAGTCACTGAAAACAAATCCACATACTGGAATTAAAAAGTTGAGAAAAAGCAAGGTCTGTAGCCTATTTTTCACTTATTTAAAGAGCGCTATTTCAGTGTGTGTATTAAGTGGTACAGAGACTGAAGTTGGGGAAATACCTTCTTTTAATTGAAGAAATTCTGTATTGATTATAGGATCAAAAGTGTTAACACTTTTGGTCCCTCTCATTTTGAATTTCTTGGATAGTTACCAGTCTAACTTAAAAGTCACCAAACACATAGCCCAATTACCTATAGCTAGTCACATAAGATTCACTAAACAAACCCTCTGAAGCATTTTTTCCAATTAGTGTGAACTGTATTTTGGAGGGAAGAGGAGAAAGCAGAGGGCAGCCTGGGAAGCTCAAAGCCATGAACCGCATGGGCCTAGCAAACTTTGTATTGTTGACCTAGAAGTGAATGCGAGTCCTTGTTAACAATGCTGCTCAACAGCCTCATGAGTTTAAAGCTTCTCTCTTGAACTGATTCAAACAAAAGACAGAACTGCTAAGTTTGGGCCTTTGTTTTTAGCTAATTGTAATAAACAGTCAGCTGATTTGCTCATCAATGGAGACACTGTTCCTTCACTTGCAGGCTGCTAGTGTCGTTTTCAGTCTGCATGAATAAGCCAATTGTTAAAGACGTTGTGTCGCACAGAATATGTTTTAATCAAGTTCTTTGCAGTGGAGAACAATATTTTTTTTTCCCTAATGCAGTATGTTTATTCTCCACTTTTGAGTCAATTTTTATTATTTCTATCCCAAACTGCCCAGGTAATGTTGCTTCTCAGCCTTGCCCCATGGCTAAGAAAGAATTTATTCTTCCCTCATGGGAATTGATTGCAAGTTTTATTTTTGCGGAGATATTTTTTCTCCTCTTTCCCAAACATGTCAGCTTGAATGGGTTTATGTGGCTTGTGTAACAAACTAGGCCAACATTCCATACAAGAGGTTACACGATTAGTATTGTAAGGATGTTTATATGGGATTGTTTTGTTTTAAACCACATGTTGTAATAATAGCAATGTCTGAATTTGCTTTGGGTTGAAATAAACAAAACTCCCACAAAGTTTAGAAAAACAGTATCTTCAAAGTGGACTAGAATTCTTTAGTATCCCCTTTTGATGTTTCTACCTAGTTACTGTACTTGTGTATGCAACACATATAGCGAAACCCATGGGTTTCAACAGTTATACTTGACTCCTGTTAGCTGAGTACTGGATCCAATTGAGTAAAGTATATCTAATTAAATTAATCTCTGTCTCCACAGATATTGAACTGGCCCTTGGAAAATGCTAAGCAGTTTTACTTCATTTTTAGACAGCTGATGTTTAAAATTATTATTTGCAGATTAGCTACAAAATGCCAACAAGATTATTTTTTGAAAAGGAATTAAATTTTGGTGACAAACTTTTGTCAAGTTTAAATAAATTTAATGCAGTTCTTTAAAAGTTGTCAATTAGGGGTGGGGAGGGGTTGGTTGTTTCTTTTTGTAAAGGATTATCGTCAGCATCTTGTACTTGTTGGAAACTGAAGCAGATTAACTTCTTTTTATCCTGCGGCATTAAGCCCAATGGCATCACCATCTCATGTTCCATCATTACTATCTCCCAAGATATTCTTGTAAAAAAAAAAAAAGTTTATTATACTCCCTACTAAATAAAATACTTTGCATTTTTTCCTTAGAGATCTTAAAAAGCATTTTTTGCAAGTTCATTATCCCACGTCACAGATGGGGAAACCACATTCAGAGAGGTTATACACGACTGGGAGAAGTAATTTAGAGACATTTTCAGAGCCAGGAATAGAAAACAAGTCTCCCAACTCCCACTGGATCATGCTTCCTCCTAACTAGACATTAGGTACCAATTGACATTTTAGACGCGAGTCACAACTACTACGTTTTTTTAAAAAATGGACTTATTCCATTATTCCAGTGCAGCAGCTAAGCACAACTGACTTTCCTTCTCTTGGATCTTGACAATATCATAGAATCATAGGGTTAGAAGGGACCGCAATGGTCATTAAAGCCTGGTCTACGCCGGACTGATCACTGCCCGCCGATCCGGCCAGTAGTGATGTCTCACCTTAGTCTCACCCCCTGCCAAGATGCAGGATTTGTTGTGTCTAAACCATCCAAGTCAGATAACTATCCAGCCTCCTTTTGAAAACCTCCACTGAAGGAGCTTCCACAACCTCCCTCAGCAGTCAATTCCATTGTCCCACTGTTCTTACAGTTAGGAAATATTTCCCAAGATTTAATCTAAATCTGCTGTGCTGTAGTTTGAACCCACTGCCCCTTGTCTTGCCCTCTGTGGCAAGAGAGAATTATATCTTTTATTGCTTTGGTCTATTATATGAGCCTGTATACTTGCATTGTACAATGAAAGAACGAAAGAAAGAACAAAGGCGGAAAATGCATGGAAGGATGACACAGAAATAAAGCTCTCTCTCACACACACACATATATATAAAAAATGTACAGTGCTGAATTCTACTACAAACCTAAGGGTTCTCCCATCTGGAATCCATCCCGAAATACATCCAGTGTCTTAGCAAACAGATGGCTAGTAATATTAACTACAGTATTCAGACCTAAGAATGGGGCAATATATTGATATTTTCTTATTATCAAAGCAAACTATTGTTGCAATTTGTTGGTAAACATCTTTATGACCACCATATTTCTAATGCTGCAACTCCATATTTCCCTGATCATCTGCACACACACACACTGCCCTTTCTCTGCTGTTCCTTTACCTTAATTGACTCCAGTTCCATTCGAAGGCGATTGTTTTCCGATAGAAGGTCTCGATTTCTGAATTCTGTTTGTTGCAGCTGTGTCTCCAATTCTGCTTCATATTCTCGGCTCCCTTCTTGGAACTCACGTAGTTCCTCCTGTGTATTTTCTGCACTGGAAGCACAATTCCAGCCACAGAATTAGTTGGGTTCATTTTAATAAAACAAGAAAATTCAGTTCGCCTTAGTATAAATGTATGACAAAATAAAATGCTCCTCTAATGCAACTGAAGGATCTACGCCTGCTTGTCACCTAAACGTGTTCAGAAAGGAAAATAAGTGATTGTATGAAAATGCCTTTCTATAGTTACATCATATTTGTTCACCTACACTCTCACAGCAATCTGTCCTGGAACAGTGGATTACAAACAACCCAGTCCGTCTTTATGTTAAGAGAGTCCGAGACAACAATAGGATGCACCTACCTTTATGCACCATATCCTCAGTCATGCTCACTTGTCTGCAAATTTAAGCTATTTATATTAAATATTCACTTGGGTGAAAACTCATTTGCAGAAGTTTTATACAAGAGATATAAGGCAAACAAGCCTGCCTTCAGAGTTCATTCAAATATTGCTACAATCATTAAGAACAGATATGAATATTGACCATCAACACGCCATCTCAAGGCCTGATCCCAGGAGGGATCCACTGACAGCAGGATAGAGCCACCTGATTTGCAAACCTTAAACATTAGCAATTTGACATATTGAGTCATGAAAAATTCCATTTACCCTGACACAGTTTGAACTGGAAAGAGATGCAGAGAAGACTTTCTTCCTCTGCCGGGAGTTCACTCCCTCTCTGGATGGTGCTGAACCATCCCTACTTAGCCAACATATTCCTGATTCAAACGAATTTCTGAAAGGTTATTTTGATCTCGCTTTTGGAATGCTGCATGCGGCAGGCATCTAGGTCTATTGCCCCTGCAGGCTTCCTCTACACAAAGTCAGACTACATAGCCACAGTTGTCCCTTCTGGCCTTAGAATCTATTAGGGCAGCCAATTAATCGCAGTTAACTCACGCGATTAACTCAAAAAAATTACTCAAAAAAATTAATTGCGATTAATCACAGTTTTAATCACATTGTTAAACAATAGAATATCAATTGAAATTTATTAAATATTTTGGATGTTTTTCTACATTTTCATATATATTGTATTCTGTGTTGTAACTGAAATCAGTGTATATTATTTTTATTACAAATATTTGCACTGTAAAAATGAAAAACAAATACTCATACAAGTACTGTAGCGCAATCTATTTGTCATAAAAGTGCAACTTACAAATGTACATTTTTTTTACATAACTGCACTCAAAAACAAAACAATGTAAAACTTCAGAGCCTACAAGTCCACTCAGTCCTACTTCTTGTTCAGCCAATCGCTAAGACAAACAAGTTGTTTACATTTACAAGAGATAATGCTGCCCTCTTCTTATTTACAATGTCACCAGAAAGTGAGAACAGGCATTTGCATGGCACTTTTGTAGCCGGCATTGCAAGGTATTTACGTGCCAGATATGCTAAACATTCATATGCCCCTTCACGCTTCGGCCACCATTCCAGAGGACATGCTTCCATGCTGATGACGTTCGTTAAAAAAAATTATGCGTTAATTAAATTTGTGACTGAACTCCTTGGGGGGAGAATTGTATGTCCCCTGCTCTCTTTTACCTGCATTCTGCCATATATTTCATGTTACAGAAGTCTCGTATGATGACCCAGCACATGTTGTTCGTTTTAAGAACACTTTCCCTGCAGATCTGACAAAACGCAAAGAAGGTACCAATGTGAGATTTCTAAAGATAGCTACAGCACTCGACCCAAGGTTTCAGAATCTGAAATGCCTTCCAAAATCTGAGAGGGACGAGGTGTGGTGCATGATTTCAGAAGTCTTAAAAGAGCAACACTCCAATGCGGAAACTACAGAACTCGAACCACCAAAAAAGAAAATCAACCTTCTGCTGGTGGCATCTGACTCACATGATGAAAATGAACACGCGTCAGTCCACTCTGCTTTGGATCGTTATTGAACAGAATCACAGAACATCAGGGTTGGAAGGGACCTCAGGAGGTCATCTAGTCCAACCCCCTGCTCAAAGCAGGACCAGTCCCCAACTAAATCATCCCAGCCAGGGCTTTGTCAAGCATGACCTTAAAAACCTCTAAGGAAGGAGATTCCACCATCTCCCTAGGTAACCCATTCCAGTGCTTCACCACCCGCCTAGTGAAAACGTTTTTCCTAATATCCAACCTAAACCTCCCCCACTGCAACTTGAGACCATTACTCCTTGTTCTGTCATCTGCTACCAGTGAGAACAGTCTAGATCCATCCTCTTTGGAACCCTCTTTCAGGTAGTTGAAAGCAACTATCAAATCCCCCCCTCATTCTTCTCTTCCGCATGAACCCGTCATCAGCATGGACACACGTCCCCTGGAATGGTGGTTGAAACTTGAAGGGACATATGAATCTTTAGCACACCTGGCACGTAAATATCTTGTGACGCCGGCTACAACAGTGCCATGAGGACATCTGTACTCACTTTCAGGTGACACTGTAAACAAGAAGCGGGCAACATTATTTCCTGCAGATGTAAACAAACTTGTTTGTCTGAGCGATTGGCTGAACAAGAAGTAGGACTGAGTGGACTTCCAGGCTCTAAAATTTTAGATTGTTTTATTTTTGAACACAGGTTTTTTTTTTTTAACATAATTCTACATTTGTAAGTTCAATTTTCATGATAAAGAGATTGCACTGTAGTACTTGTATGAGGTGAACTGAAAAATACTATTTTTTTTTGGTTTTTTTACAGTGCAAATACTTGTAATCAAAATATAAAGTGAGCACTGTACACGTTGTATTCTATGTTGTAATTGAAATCAATATATTTGAAAATGTAGAAAACATTGAAAAATATTTAAATAAATGGTTTTCTATTATTGTTTAACAGTGAGATTAATGGCGCAATTAATTTTTTGTAATCGCTTGACAGCCCTAGAATCTATTAATTTTCCTGGAGTACTGTAGCCTCAGGCTCTTCTACACAGATTTTATCATCCCACTAGAAGTTATAGAATGAATTACAGGATCTATAGCCTACTAGAAAGACAAATTATGGACATAAATTCATTGCCTTTACCATTGTTTATATTTCATAGCCAGTTCTTTCCAGTAGCTGGTTTCTTCTTCCACTGATTTGAAGTGATTTCCTTCCAAGTCTTCCATGGTGAAATCCCTAGAAGTCTAAAATTCTTGTTTCATGTTTTCCTGAAAATTAAGAAGTTGCAAATTTAGAAGTTAGCATTTTCCTGTTACTGCATTATCCCATTGCTTCTTCCTGTGGAATTATCTATCCTAGTAGAAGCAGCCTCATCTTTGGATACATTTAAAACCAGATTGGACAAAGCACTGTCAAATACGCAACATGCCAGAGGGAGGACTAGATCATTTAATAGGGATTTTCTCTCTCAAGTTTCTCTGAATCTATTGGAGGTTGGTACCCCACCAGATTACCTTCACTGAGTGTCTTCCCCTCCCTACCTGACTACATGGTACTGGTCAACAGAACATTAACAGACATTCCCAGCATAACGAATAGGTACAGAAAGCAGCTGAGGAGGGAGACACCCCAAAACACACGCTGCCTAGTGAGAAAATGAGGGACACCCTGAGAAATACAGAAAGGCCATTTGAGCAAGAAACCAAATGCTCTGATCTAAAAGAAAATGCAACTAAGTTGGACTTTAGCAACCCCAGAGACATGGCAGTTACCCCCCCTACAAAGGAACATCACTGAAACATACAAAGGATCTGGGGATAATGATTTCCTTTGGTAAAGGTTTCAAAAGTGCCTATGTGATTTAGGAACATACAGATCTAAGTCACTTAGATACTTTTTAAATTTTACCTTTTATCTAAACTCTAAGACACTATAAAGTACAGAACAGAAATAGAATGCAATAGAACAGCTATAACTCTGAAGCCTGTGATGCACCATAATAAATGCACTAAAATAGAAATGGTTTTGTGAGAGTTAGTCACAGGGCTTGTCTACACTTACGGAGCAGCTGTGCTTCTCTGGTGCTTAGTGAAGCTTCTCCCATATGGGTAGAGGGAGGCCTCCAATTGACTTAGCCCTGTCTACTCCGGAGATTAGGTTGGATTTTCCACACACCCCTGAGCGATGTAGTTATACCAACATAAGTTGGCAGCATAGACCAAGCCTCAGAGTGGAGAAAGGTCACAATTAAGGCCTCTAGACAGTCTGCTCTGTGCAATGCTGGTCAAGGCAAGGATTACACAGAGGCTGACATTATAAACCTAATAGCAGCCTCCACAGATTGAAGACCATAAATAAAGGTGGAGCCTGGCTCTTCATTTACAAAGTCAGGCAGCAGAAATACTGGAACCCTAAACTGTCAATGGGAGATGCAGAGTCCGCAAGCCAACTCCAAATTTTAAAGTCTCAGCTTTAGATCTGTTTATTAATAAGCCAGTAAGTCTCCAGATGGCAAGCTTAAAAAGAGAAAGAGCAAATACATTCAAAACCACCAATGATCATTTGAAGATTTTTCCAGTCACGCTGTAGAGCCTGATCCTGCATTTCACATGCATCCTAAACTTCCAATTTCAACTGGAGTTTTTGGTGAGCAAGAAATGCTGGACTGGACCTTGAAAACAGGATTATATGATTAAAAAAATCTTATATCCACAAATTATAAACCAGGTGAAATACAATAACTCAGTGGCCCCATTTCACCTTCCACTTCTCCCATCAGCTAAAAGTAATATCAAAGACAATCTAAGCTTTCATGCTCCCTGATATCCGAGGCACACACAGATACCCACAGATACATCTCTACCTCGATATAACGCTGTCCTCGGGAGCCAAAAAATCTTACTGCGTTATAGGTGAAACCGCGTTATATCGAACTTGCTTTGATCCGCTGGAGAGCGCAGCCCCGCCCCCATGGAGCACTGCTTTACCGCGTTATATCAGAATTCGTGTTATATCGGGTCGCATTATACCGGGGTAGAGGTGTACCAGGTCTTCATGGCTTGTCCCACCATTTGTTAAAATCTTTGTGCAACAGTTTCAAAAGCATCTAAGCCCCAGATTTGTAAAGGTATTTTAGGCATTGCTTTGTTTGGCATTGCCAGGCCTAAGTCCATTTTCAAAAGTGACTTGGACAATTGGAAGCCTGAGCCTCACTGAAAATCAATGGGACTTAGGACCCTAAGCGCCTAGGTCACTGTTGAAAATGGGACTTGGCTGCCTAAATCACTTAGGCTTTACAATGCTGAGTGGAACACCACATGAGCGCCTTTAAAAATCACAGCCTAAGTCCCCACTTGACACTCAAAAGGAATTAGACAATTCTGAAATCCTTTCCTTTAAATACCCGGGGGGTGGGGGGGGGAGGGAGGGACTGGAGGAATTGGGGAAAACATGAAAGTGTTTATAAACCAGAACTCATGAGGAGTTTGGTTTGTTTAAAGGGACCAGAGAAAAAAACAAAATGTTAATAAGAAAAAAGAGGTTTACACCCTTCTGCAAACAAACAAGACCACCACACTTGACCTAGTGACATTTCCTGAAGTCATCTCAGGGCTTCCAATCGTGGATATATTTATGGAAATGTATGGAAAAAGCTAAGAATGGGATGGGTGGGAAGTACTGACTCACTCCAAATTATCTTCATGTCTAGTAATGTGAAGCTAGACCATGCACAATTAAGATTCTCGCTTTATTTTTAGCGAGTTGAAAGTGTCTTTGATTTTAATAAGCATTTCACATGCTCAACGCTCTGCACAAATATTAATTAATCCTCACACCACACTTGGGAGGTAGACAAGTATTAGCCCCATTTTACAGATGGGGAAACAGAAAGGGAGAAGGAAAGCCACTTGGGCCACAAGTCAGATGTGTCACTCAGATTAGAAATCAGGAGTGGCCAACCCCCAGTACCGTGCTCAACCCACCAGAAAAAAACAGACATCATCCCTTCGGTGGGTGTTTTCCGCACACTCAGAACAGGAACCTTCCAAATTCCATTGAAGGCTGGGGCAAAGGTTGCACCCTTGTCCTTCTCCCACCTCTCAGAGAAGTGAGATGGTTTGGCACACAGATACCACATATCTTGGCGATGTGCTGGAGGCTGAAGCCATCTCCAGAGTGGTCTGAGTCAGGTTCCCAAGGTGTAAAAAGATGTGGGAAAAGAAAAGGTGGTTTTATGGGAAGGAAGGATCATCTTGCAGTAAGTGCACCTGACCAGGACTCAGGAAATTTGTTATTTTATTATCACTATTATTCCCAGCTCTGCCAGTTTTCTTGTGTGACCTTGGGCAAATCAGTTAATCCCTCAATGTCTCCATCCCCATCAGGGATAATATATGCCTACCTTACATGGTACTGAAAGGATAAACCCATTAACATTTGTGTGATGATCAACTACCACACCAATGAGGCATAGTAAGTAACTAGACAGATAAAGGCACCGTCACACCTCCCTAATTCTGGCCCCAGCCTCTGCTGCAATTTAGAGAAACTCTACGCCAACAGGAAAATAAGGACATCCTGTGGGGGGAGTCTATGCCCACTTACCCCATTGGAATGGCATAAGGGGCTCCAGTGAGAGAATCAGGGCTCTTGATTCCACGCTGCCTCCCAGCACTCCTTCCATAGGGTCACAAGCAGCCACTGCCCCAAGACTTACCGTAAGTGCGGGAAGGAAACAAATTAATGCTAATACCATTGAACATACTGAGTGATTGTGTTCCCCCCAATTTCAACCCTGACCTCCTAATGGGATCAGATCCACACACACACACACACACAACTTCAAAAGGCTTCCTCAAGGTGTTTGTTTGTTCATTCATTGTGAGAGAGATATGATGCTGTGCAGGTTGTGTTCCTCTTTTTCTGTGCCTCCCATAACCCTTGAGTCCACATAGATGAAGGATGTGATCTGGCCCAAGGAGGCTTAAAAATATTTCAATAGAGACTTCCCTCCTGTTGCTCAATTTTTTTCCGCGAAAAATTTTGGCTAACATGAAAATGACCCAGCAGAGCACCTTCAGATTTACATTGTAGTGTGCAGTTTCCTAACAGATTATAATTATAAAAAAACCTCCAAAAGTTTGGTGTTTGGAAAATAAAAGGGTTGAATCCTCCACCACCAAGACCCAGTCTTGATGGCAAAAAGGGTGTGTTTTGAAAATGTATTATTTTAATACAATTGCAAAGTCCTCTTCAGGCTCTCTTACAGGCCTTGTCTAGCCTAGGGCTTAGAAGTGTAATGTTATATCAAGCTAGGTGACTGGATCTAATTAATACCCTCTTAAAATTCTAGTCAAGACAAAGGAATGGTATCATACTTTAGGGTCATGGGAAACTTAACCTAGCTTGACCAGTTTAGCATGTGCTAAAGATGACATGCCTCGTCTAAAGATTCGATTACAAACACATTAGTTAGCACTCATCAGCTAACAAGCTGACATGGTTGGGTTTGGTAAATGTGAAATCTGATTCCACTTGCAGAGCTTGGCATGTAACAACAGATCTCAAATATATATATATACACATAGAAGCTCAGTGGTACAGGATTCAGAGTGGACACTGTAAACAGGATGTGATGTAGGCATGAAACTTGAAATATTTTCAACATCCTTTTCTAGAGAGTTTGTCTTTCTGGAAATTAAACCACTATACATATGACAAGGAAACACCATTTATGCACTGAGCTGCAGAAAGTCATCAACTACAATTCAGTGTGACCTTTGGAAAGGAAAGGATACCAACTAGTGTTAATACACGCAAATCATTCCTCCCCAGTCCCAAATACTCATAGAGGATTAAAAATAGACAATTTTCAGAGACAAAAGAAGCTTTTTAGACTTGGAACATTCAGGGAAGGAATAGGCAAAAGAGGAGAAGAGTATCGGGGGGGTAGCTGTGTTAGTCTGTATCTACAAAAACAACAAGGAGTCTGGTGGCACCTTAAAGACTAACAGATTTATTTGGGCATAAGCTTTCGTGGGTAAAAACCTCACTTCTTCAGAGGTTTTTACCCACGAAAGCTTATGCCCAAATAAATCTGTTAGTCTTTAAGGTCCACCAGACTCCTTGTTGTTTTCAAAAGAGGAGAGAGATTCAATACCTAACCTCTCTCTAGTTTGGGTTGGCCAGGAAAGAAGATAAGTACACATGAACAATTACATAGGGTTGCATAGGACCTCTGAACTTTCTTTTTTCCAAAGACCCTGATCTTTGGGTCTTGGGTATTGTCAGAATGGTCATTCTACACTTCCTCCAGGAACCTGGTATATGCTTAGACTGCCGTTCCAGCCAGCCTGGAGAGTGTACTTTGGGAAAGAGCCTATCTTGGGGTCAGCCCATCACTAGCATAAGACAGAGTTCAACATTAACATGTACTGATCCTCATGAATTCCAGGATAGCAATTCCCCTGGCCGATTCACGAGTTGCACTAATGGGCCCAATGGAACTTGTATTCAGACAGCGAACAAAATTAGACACGGTTGAGAGTGGGGCGAAGGGGGGAGGTCTTCAGGAGTAGGGTCCTCTGGACTCCTCTTCCTCACAGCCACAAAGACATGGAGCCAAAAGCCCTGCAATTTGCAAGCATAGCTCTTACTGGCTCAATGGGAGTTGCATATACTTACATCAGGGCTGGATTTGCTCTAAAGCCTGTTTGCCCCTACATGGTGACATGTATTTTGGGGCCAGGGGAAAAGGGGAATTTTTTTTTAGATTTCTAAGGGCTTGTCTACATAGGGAAATTTACTGGCAGATCTATTTTGGTCTAATTATAGTATTACAGTTATACCCATATAATCCCCTCTGTGGATACATATTTCAGAGTAAGCATCTACACAGGGAATTATATGGATATAACTGTAGCAGTACGATTATACCAGCATAGTTCTGCCAGTAAATTTTCCCATGTAGATGAGCCATAAGGTACACTCCCCAGGCATCCTCTGGGACCATACATGACTGGAACATGCTTTGTTCCATTATATCTATCCCTAAGTAATGCCTACAGTAAACTAATTTCAAACTAATGTAGAGACTGCAAGTACATGTTTGAAACTTCCCTACATTTGTTACTACAAGATAACATGATGTGACATGAATTGTTTTTCTACTGTTCCATGCCCCAGATGCATGCCTCGTGCCTGCAGTGAGCCAAGAACTGAAATTAAACATTAATATACAGCCCCACCATGTCTTATTACCAGCCATTTCACACAAGGCCCTACCCAAGCATAGGTTGCATGTCAGGTGCTAGAGATATTTAGGGCAAGATTTTCAAGGCAGCCTAAATTGCAAAGGGAAAAGTTTGGTTAAAAGAAATTTGTTCCAAAACTCAGGTTGTCAAAAACAAGATTTAATGAGACTTCAGACCAATCAAAATGTTTCCATGAATCTTCTGTTTTCTTTTTCAATGCCAACAAAAACAGTTTGTTTGCCACATGTGAACAAGCGGCTGCCTCCCAAGTGCCCCCTCATGGTTAGAGGTGGCTATGCAGGTGCACTGTCTCAGCTGCCCTCTTAAATCGAACTACTGTACCAAACAAAGTCTTCCCTGGTTCTGCCACACCCCTTCACTGGGGATCTCCCAGGCCTTCCCTTAATCAGGATTCCCTGCTACAACTTCTTCACTCCCAGCAGTCTCTGTCCCTCTTCTCTTTCATTGATAGCTTCCTGATGCTCTCTCAGTTCTTCCATACCCAGATGGTTCTACTAATTAAACCCCACACTCCATACCAAGTGTGGCGGGCAGGGCTAAGTATATGGGGTTGTCCAATGGGGACAGGCCACCATTACACAACTAAAGCACACAGAATTATACATTACACAATTTCGTAGTTTTGTTGAGAAGAGGGTTTTACCAGCATTTTGTTCACAATTTATTATTGCCATCAAAAACATAAGGTTATAACTGTTTGGCTACACCTCGTTTGTTTTCATACATGTAGAAACCAGAAGGAAAGATTTGGCCATACTTCCTGCTTGTAAGCAGTTTGGTCATAGACATTACAAAACCACTGTATCATGCAGGAACTAAAGTTTTCTGGGGGTATGGGATGAACTTCTGCAGTGAGAAAAATTATGTTTACGTGTTTCGCTCCAGGAAGTGACAACAGTACTGCAAAACACCAGTTCGTATCACCATGGCATAGACCAGGTGTAGGCAACCTATGGCACGCATGCGAGCTGATTTTCAGTGGCACTCACACTGCCTGGGTCCTGGCCACCGGTCCAGGGGGCTCTGCATTCTAATTTAATTTTAAATGAAGCTTCTTAAACATTTTTAAAACCTGATTTACTTTACATACAACAATAGTTTAGTTATATATTATAGACTTATAGAAAGAGACCTTCTAAAAACGTTAAAATGTATTACTGGCACAAGAAACCTTAAATTAGAGTGAATATATGAAGACTCGGCACACCACTTCTGAAAGGTTGCCAATCCCTGGCATAGACCATCTTCAAAGTAATTTTAGTATGGGGATTGAAATACTGTACTGCAATCAGAGTCAGAGCTAATCAAACTCAGGAGAACTCTATGCTGGATTCTAATATAAAATTGTAGAAGCCAGTTCAAAACAGCTCTGGGACTTAAATATATTTTAAGGATCTATTTAACAATGGCAGCAATGAAGTTTACATTCAGAGCAGTTTCATGTCCCCCCCCAAAAAACCCAGAAGGGAGAACAGGAGAAGGACCCTCTGAAAAAGTAAGAGCAAAGCAGAACTCTCACAGGCCAAACTTTTATAGAATCCATAAATTCTGTTTGGACAAGTAATTTGTTCCATAATCAGGGCAAGGGGAGAACTAAGTTCATATGGGGAATCTTCCTCGAACCTCTTTTCTGATGGTTAGTTTGTCTCATAGAAAAAAGGTTTTCACACCCACAAAGTTACCCAAGTTACCAAAACTAAATGCCACAAAAGGGAATAAAGAGAAAGAGGTCATCCCAAAGAGAAGGTCACAATTAATAGTATATTCGGAGGCCAGTCTAAGAAGGTTATCATTGCATGGGAGTCTCTCTGCAAAAAGGGCTTCATTAAAAAAAAAAGACTATTCAAAAGTTCAGGTATTTATCCAAATCCAATACTTTTGAGTCTCAAACTGTCTTAAGGAAACTCAGCAGAACAGGCAAATTCTCTCCTGAAATACCTACTTGTTCCTTGATGCTTCCTGGCCTCAGCCCGAGAGGCTGTTCTCACAGCAGTAGGGGCTTCTGATTCTATTGCCAGACCAAACCCAGAAAGGGAAATAAACTACTCCGGACATTTCCAAATCTCGACAAAACATAAAAGTCCAGTTCCAGAAAGAGTCTAAGGTTCAGGTTGGTAATTAGGGGTGGGAGCGATGGCTTACCCGAGTCCATGCCCCCTGCAGCCTCAGAGAAGGAGAAAGGAAGAGAGCGATGCAAGCAGGATGTGGACACAGTGGGCTGTTGCTGCCCCCGCCTCACAATAGGATGCATCCCTCACACTGCCACGTGGAAACCCTCCCTGCCCCGTCCCGACCCCACACAGCAGTGGCAGCCACACGGGAAGATGGGAGAGGAGGATCCTAGGAGTTTGTCCTCCCCAAACTTCCAAGAGACCCAGTAAAGCCCTGGACGCTCACCACTTCCGCAGGAAAAAGCAGCCAAGTCCGGGTACAGGCACCTTCTGCCACCCTCCTATAGCCACCGGCCGGGACTAGTACGAACCCAAGCTCTTACTCTGCCCAGGTCTCTGTGCCCCCATCCGAACCATTACAACCAAACTCTACCCAACACCCTATTGGCTGCAGGGTCACGTGGCCTGAAGAGGCTCCTCCAATCAGCTCCGGTAAAATGCTGCTTCTGGAACGTTTAGAAACTTTCGAATTTTTTTTAACTTTTCAGTGGCAGCCGGGCCGGAGGACGGAGGTGTCGTGGGACAGGGCTCTGAGCGCAGGGCATGGTGCAGGACCGCCCCAGGGATCGCAAGCAGACTTCCACCCTTTAAGCAAGGCAGGATACGGTGGAGCTATGAAGACTCGATGTACTGAGCAAGCAATATACTTCAGCAAGCTGCAATGCAACTTGGGAGTCTCCAGCTTTCCTCCTCCCTTTATTATTATCTACGTTTTTATGGGTGTGTTACTTATTTTATAACATCCACAAGTGTGCTTGGGGCTTCACCGAAAGCGTAAGAAGACATGGGCACTAATTCTGCAAACACAAATATATGTGATTAATTTTTTTACTGACAAAAGTTAAGCACTTGCATTAGTTTGTAAGATCTGTAGTGTGAGTGGAACTTACATTGCCTTAGCTCAGTTATAATATTATAAACTGTGTATTTTTTCCAGACTCCCATAACTTTAAAATAAATAAAAATTTCCTCAGGATGTGGTGTTTAAAAAAAAAAAGTCACCTTTGGGCTGACTTGCGAGTTTTAACTCCATAGGTTAATTTTTCAGAAAGGTATCTCAGTATGTAGCCGTAACTATTTTAAATGCCATAAAAGTGCAAAATTTATACATTCAAGATACCCACTCAATCCATTTTTTGCTTACCATGGATAAGATCCTGTGTGCCGTACTGCTACTGCTGAAGTCAATATGTATTAGGATTAGGCCCTCTGTGAGACATTAGAAAGCAGCATTTACTTACATCTCATTTATGATCTCCCCATTTGGGACATGTCTCCACAAGAAACCACAGTAAGACTAAACAGAACCTATGAATGATGTGAGCACACCAGTATAACGTTTTTGTGTCTCCAAGATGCTGGGAAGGACAAGAATGTTCACCAGCAGCAGTAAGCATGATCCAAAAGCCTAATGAAGTCAAGGGTACTCTATTATTTGACTTTAGTGGAATATGGATCCAGTTCTTTTTGCTTATAAATTATTAATAGGGATAAGACATACTCAGTGTTGCTCAAGTACCATAGGTGTCTGCCTATACTATAATGCACACAAATACCTGCTCAGTAGGTGTGTCTGGTATTTGCTTCCTGAAAGACTCAAAACAAAACCACAAATTACTACTTCGAAGGGTGATCCAGCCCACATATATGTGGACATACATCACTGAGTATCTTATTATTAATTATTGTGCACATCCAGCCTCCAGTTTAACAAGATGCCTGTTGATGGGCATTCACATATCTAAGCAGAGGACTGAGGATCTCATCTTAGTCCCATTGATTTAAAAGATTCAAGTTCAGGTTCTGATTCAATTGATTTCAATGAGAGATAGGTGCCTAAAAACCTTTGAGGATCTGGGTCTGAGTCCTTGGGCACAATCCTACAAAGACTTAAACAGTTGAGTTATTACGATTCCAATGGGATTGCACACATACTTAGGGCTTGTCTATACTACCCGCCGGATCGGCTGGCAGCAATCGATCCAGTGGGGGTTGATTTATCCCGTCCTGTATAGACGCAATAAATCGACCGCTGAGCGCTCTGCCGTCGACTCCAGTACTCCACCAGAATGAGGAGCGCAAGCAGAGTCGATGGGAGAGCGTCAGCTGTCGATTTACCGCAGTGAAGACACCGCGGTAAGTAGATCTAAGTACGTCGACTTCAGCTACGCTATTCACGCAGCTGAAGTTGCATATCTTAGATCAACCCCTCGCGGTAGTGTAGACAAGCCCTAAGAGTCTTTGGAGTTTAATTCAGGTGGCAATTTGTGTTATTGTAGAAGCTTCAGATATTAATGGAACACTCAACAACTAAGATAACTATAACTGAGAGAAGTTAGCAAAATCATTTTGGAATCAGATCCTCAGCAGGTGTAAATGGGTGCTGTTATTTTGACATGAACAGAGCATCACCCATGTACACCAGTTCAAGATCTGGCCTTCTGTTTTTTTCTGTTTGCTTACTTCATGGATTTGAAAGGGTTTTATATTATATAATCAGTTTGTTTGTTTCACCTGTACTAAGAGCTTTATAAACATCTACAGGTCTGGAGAAAAAAATCCCCCAACAATTATAAGTATTTTTTTTTTAACTTTCAGGACAAACTATTAAAGGATGTTGTACCAGCACTGGAAGTTTCTAAAATTAGTGGATTTTAAAAAACTTAAGTTGACAGTGCCCCTTAATTCTGCCCTTAAATTACTAAAAAATGTTTGCAAAAAATGTTTGAAAGCATTTACGTACATGTCTGCAAGATTGGGACCAATGTCCCAATAGCCTGCTGATTTTTTAATATTAATTAGTTACCATTTCTACACTAATTTTAAGATTGTAAGAATAGCTTGTATGATTATTCAGACCTTAAAATTAAAAATGTTGATGTCTTAAATGGCTCACATTTTGATGAGTTTTACAGTAGCTTTTCTGATTTCAGAAGAGAAGCTATTGGAGGTATAGTCCAGTTCCAAAATAGCACAGTTGAGTCTTGGATCAAAGACTGGGGCTTCTAAGCACTACTTCCATACAAATAATAAATAATAATAAAAGTTATTGTCATTGCCTTGTTTGTAAGAAGACTATACAAATGTGTCTGTTTTTCAATAAGCAGAGAAGTGGAGATGATGAAATCTCTAAGACTGAGTTTATTTTTATTTTGCTGATGAATGAATATTGGTTTTGTTGTGCTAGGGTTTACCTGCTAGATATTTTTACATTTAATTTCCCGTAAACTGGTGACGTAGTATCTTCTTAATCCATTTTCCCCAGATAAGACCATACCAACTTCCTCAAAAGTGGTCTTAACTGTCTGGATTTTTTATATATACACCTTAGAGGGCCAAAGACCAACAGTCTCTGTGAAACAGAAAATACCAAATATTTTTATAATGTCTGGATTAAGTGGGACTTTTCCAAGTTCACACTCCCTATTGGTGACCTAAATCTAACTTGACTGCACAGAGTTGCATGACTCAAGGTATGTCTGATTTGCCAAAGATCTTGAAGGAAGGTGCTGTAAAGTGGAACAGGCAGCATTTGTAAACTATAATAATCCAGGGTAAGGCTGAGAAGCCTTGTCTTTTGGGTTCACAAGCCATTTGAAGGAAAACTGATGTTCCAGATTCATCAAGACTGATCATCTTGGGAAGAGGAAGTCATGATATTGTAACATTATAACATTAAGGTTTTTTTTATTTGACTGCTACAATTGAAAAAACAAGTGGCATTTCAGTCTTTAAGTGTGGGCGCAGTCATCTCCATATAAAAATGCTAAGATCAATATAAACACTTTTCTATCAATATAACTGCACCTACATTAGGTGATTGCACCATTTAAACTAGTGAAAACTGTGTAAATAAACCCTAATTTTCCCTCTCAGAGGTCAAATTGGCATGGAGTAAAGATGCGGGTGGTGGTGGAAGGGCAGGGTCCTGGCCCTGGGGGTTGGGGAGGGAGGCTCTGACCCTTCCTTGGGGCAGGTGGGATAAGGTCCTGATGCTCTACTCAAACTCCTCCCACAATCCAACAGTTGAACAGCAAGCAGAAAATTAACCATTTTGATATTTAAATTGTTATTTAGTTTCTGAGTTTACACCCTATTGAAATGAAAGGGCGGTTGGAATTTTATTACTCAAAACTATTTATGACTCAAACTGTCATTTGCAATGCATTCTTTGCAACCATGAGTCTCAGGACTTTTTTTTTTTAAAGGAAAGCTTAAATTCTAAAGGAACTGATGGAGCCAACCCAGAAGCACTGGTATGGTGGATGTGTAATAGCTCAGTTGAACACTGTACTAATTGCTTCTTTCCTGCAGTGCAGGAATATCCTCCCTCTTCTTGTCCACTACTAATCCATCATTAAAACATGTGTTTCCCATGAATCTTTCCCAGGCTGATCTCTCCAGCACCATCCTGACCTTCCAGTCCCTGTGTTTTATTTTTATATCTGAGGCCTTTTCTACATCAGTATAGCTACACCAATTGTTGGCAACCAACGGCTGAATGAAGGCTATTCCCTAGTGTAGGCAAGACCCTAGTTCCATTGTAACTGCCCCAAGGCAGGGACTACTGCGGTGTAGCCTGTGTCTTGTAAAATGCCATGCACCTTTACCGCTCCCTAATTACAATTCTTTTCTGGTGTCCTTTCCTTTACTACGGGATCATGAAAACTACAATAGGAATGTGAATGTACTGGAGCTGCATCCTGGCTTGACTGACACCAGGTGCCTCCTGAGCACTTCCCGCCCTGGGGGAGGGGCGGGGTACAGTAGCAGAAGGTGTAAGGGTGCAGAACTACCAAGTACCCCTGTTTCGAGGCCTGTGCCAGGTATTCCCCCATAAGCCAACCCCCAGTGTAGGGACTAAGGTGACTAGATAGCAAATGTAAAAAATCGGGACGGGGGTGTGGGTAAAAGGTGCCT